TCTTTTGGTTTTTATACAGTATTCCCAGACTTCACCAGTACTTAAGTGGTTAATGGAAAGTATTGAGGGAGTGAGGGGCTGGGGGTGAGCCATCAAATGTGACCAGAATCAGTCTTTTTATTATTCAGCAGCAGGTTGTGTTGTGTAATAGAGGGTAAAGTCTGAGCCAAGACAACTGTAGGGCACAGTCTTCTAGCTTAGTGAATCCGATGGGGAAATCAAATTATTTACACTCAAACAACATTACCTTCAATTTCCACAGTCACAAATATATCTTGCATTGTCCCAGAAGGAGGCATGCAGGGGAAGGGGATTCTGAGTGAGAATAGGAGACGAACTGAAAGCACAAATGAAAGGAGAGGTTCTGAGGAGGTCTTACCAAACTGGATAAAGTCATAGCAAGCGGGGAGAGGAGAGGGCTAGGGATACAGTCCTTTAAATGTTGGGACTTGAGAGTTGATACATTTGTCTGAACTCAAGAGAATCACGAATGGAAGAAAAAATGGACTCTGTACCACAAGTGGAGCATCAAACTCCATGGGTGGGAGGAGGATGAAGAGAGATTCTGAGATTATTCTTTTCTGGGATGTGGGTGTTGTTGGCTGGGCCAGGACTTGTTACCCATCTGTAGTTGTCCTTGAGAAGTGGGTGGTGAGCTGCCTTCTTGAACCCCCAGACACCCACAATGCTGTTGATAACGCAGTTTAGTCAGGAGTCAGAGAGGCAGCAGAGGTTTGAGGGTCAGTGGTGTGTTGTCAACAATGAGTGTTTCTTGTTTTGCAGGGCTTTAATTACCCCAGGTGTGATCTGTACATCAATCTGCAATCAAAATGCAAAAAAATTATGATGCTTCAGAGCTCAATAAAAATCCTGAAGGTATGTTCCCCGCAATTGAGAAACTGCTGCCCAGTCTGTAGACCATGAGCAAGGAAGACCAGCCTTGCTGAGAGGAAACTTTGTCAACTCTCTTGTCCTCTCAATCCTGAATGTAATGACTTTGGCTGGGATGTGGTTTTACTGCTTAATAACTGCCTCTCCTTCCCCAGAGCTGGTCACATCTCCTCAGGTGTGGGAAACCACTTACCAGGCTGTCCTCCACTCACACCTGACTAGTGGCCATGAGCAGACATATTTACATTTTCCTTCTACCATGATCAGTGAGTTTGAGTAAAGCATCTTCACTTATATACAACCTGGACCGTGTGTTCCTGCAGAACCTTTTCATTTCATGCTCCCCTGAAAACCATGGTACTGTGTTGGGCTAAGGCACTACTGGTAGAGTTAGGTTACATGAAGATGTGGCTGTTTTGGAAATGTTTCTCCAGAGTCTGATTGACTGAGATATGGTTTTCTTGGATTACGGCACTTTTAGGATGTGGTTTCGACGGGGGTGTGGAATGGTTGGTGAACTGATCTATTACATGTATACTTGGCTATGGGTGAGTGGGGAATTGTTCTTTTAGGATTTGGTGATATTGGGGTTGGGTTCTGCTGTAATATGGCTGAGTTGATATGTGGTTCTGCCAGGATTTAGTTTGGCTGGGATTTTACTCTGTTGGATTTGGCTCTGTTAGGAAATAGCACTGGTGGGATTATGCTCTGTTGGGTGTTGGTTTTGTTATGATTTGGCCCTGTTGTGATTTGGTTCTGTTGGGTTTCAACTTAGTTGGGATTTGACCCTGTTGGGATTTGGATGTTGAGATTTGGATTTGTTGGGATTGGGTTTTGTTGGGATTTGGATCTGTTGGGATGTGGCTCATTGTAACTTGCTCTTTTTTTAAACCAATCATTATAAATCTGTGTTGTCTGGTTCTTGATCCTTCCACAAATAAACCCAGTTTTCCCTGCTTACTCTGTCCAGAAAACTCAACTGTCTTGATCAAATCTCCTCGCAACCTTCCAATCTCCAATTAACATCTGCAAACTATCCAAGTTACTAAAATTCCTATCCCTGGAACCATCCTTTGTGAATCTTTCCTGCACTCTCTCCACATCTCTCTTAAAAGTGTAGTGCCCAGAACTGGACACAATGCTTCAGTTGAGGACAAACAAGGGATTTAGAAAGATTCACCCTGGCTTTCTTGCTTTTGACATTCCTGAGATTTGAAAACAACATTTTAGGCAGGCATTTCAGTGCTGTGTAAGGGGAATGTTGCATCTTCAGAGTGCAATCTCTTAGATGAGATGTTTAACTGAGGTCCCGTCTACCCACTCAGGTGAGCATAAAAGACTCTTCGTCACTGTCTTGAAGAAAAACAATAGAGTTCTGCCTGGTGTCCTGAGCAAAACATGTCCTTCAATGAATATTGTGTGCAGTTCTGGAATCCACATTATGGATGGAATCCACATTATGGATGGATGTAATAGCACTGGAGAGGGCGCAGAAGGATTTACCAGGATGTTGCCTGGGCTGGAGAGTTTCAGTTACGAAGAGAGATTGGACAGGCTGGAGTTGCTTTTCCTTAGTGCAGAGGAAATTGAGGTGACATGATTGAGATGTATCAAATTAAGAGGACTGTAGAATAAGAATCTTTTCCCCTTGATGGAGGGATCAATGACCAAGGGGCATAGATTTTAGGAAAAAAGGAGCTGGAGGTTTAGAGGAAATGCGAGGAAAAACCCAGAGGGTGGTGGGAATCTGGAACTCACTGCCTGTAAGAAATACGCAGAAACCCTCAAAATGTTGAATAAGTATTTAGATGTGCACTTGTGATGCCAAGTCACACAAGGCTATGGGCTAAGTGATGGAAAAATCATTGAATTCCTACAGTATGGAAGCAGGCCATTCAAGTCCACACTGTCCCTCCAAAGAGCATCCCACACAGATTCAGAACCTGCCCTATCCCTGTAACGCTGCACGGCTAATCCACACAGCCTGCATATCCCTGGACACTACAGGGCAATTTAGCATGGCCAATCCACATAACCTGCACATCTTTGGACTGTGGGAAGAAACTGGATCACCCAGTGGGCACGGAGAAAATGTGCAAACTCTACACAGACAGTTCCCTGGGGTGGAATCAAACCTGGGTCCCTGTTGCTATCAGGCAGCTGTGCTAACTACTGAGCCACCAGGCAGTTATTAGGTGGCTGCTTTTGATTGGCGCAGCTATAGACTTCTATGATTCTGTGACTCTAATACCACTTCTAAAAAATCATATTTCTGATTGTGGGATCTTGCTATGCATGCAGTGGCTGTCATGATGCCCATATTGCAGTAGTAACTCCACTTCAGAAATACTTATTGTCTGTAAAGTGCATTGAGACTTCCCAGGGGCCGTGAAAGGTGCAATATTAACGCTGTTCTTTCCTTCTCAGAATACAACGATCAACACGAGCAGCAACCACAACCAGATCTCACCACAACGAGCAACGATGACTCTGCGAGCGGGAGAAGAGAAGAGGATGAAATTCAAGGTCTTTCAGCCGCTGGAAACTCCAGTCGATCTTTATTTCCTCATGGACTTCTCCAACTCAATGAAGGACGATTTGGACAACCTGAAGAGACTGGGCCTCAGGCTGGGTGAGCACCAGAGCATTTTGTCCAATATCATTTCAGTGCTCCACCCATTACAGCAGCCCCAATATCACTAAGCTTCACAGCCTGAGGATTGTTACCTTGTTGGTAGTTATCTGAGGGAGCTAACAAACCATCTTAATCGGAGATGGGGGCATCTTTCCAGCATAGATTGGTACCTCATCTGTGTTAAGTGTTAGTTTAGCATTAGCCCACTGGCCTTTGAAGTAGAGGGTTGTGAGTTCAAGCCCTATTCCAGGATGAAACTCCAGTACAGTACTGAAGCTGTGCTGCATTGTTAGAACAGTCAGTTGATCTGGGACCCTATATGCCCTCTCCACTGGATGTAAAGATTCCATTGTTTTGAATAATTTCAGGAGAATTCATCCTAATATACTGGCCAATATTTACCCTTCAAATACTGTCACTAAAGCACAGAATATCTGATGGTTTTCGCATTGCTGTTTGTGGGAGCAGTTGGCAGATGCATTTCCTACATTACTATAGTGACTGCACTTCAAACATATTTCACTGGCTGCAAAGTGCTTTGAGAGTTCCTGAGGTCATGGCAGGTGCTGTACAGATGGAGCCTTTGTATCAGAATGATCCTAACTCTCATTGTATTTGACAGCTGATCTGGTGCGGAACATGTCGAGTAACTACACCATCGGCTTTGGGAAGTTTGTTGACAAAGTAACTGTCCCACAGACAGATATGAGACCTTCAAGGTAAGAGCAGGAAGATAGACTATTTGTGAGAGAGTGTTTATCTGTGCGTGTGTGTGTTTTTGTGTGTGTGTGAGAGAGAGAGTTTGTGTGTGTCTGTGTGTGTGTATGTTTCTGTGTGTATGTGTGTGTCTGTGTGTGCGCATACGAGAGTGTGTGTGTGTACATCTGTGTGTGCATGTATGTGTGTGTCTGTGTGCATGAGAGTGTATGTGTGAGAGAGAGAGTGTGTGTGTGTATGTATGTGTGGGTGTGTGTGTATGTGTGTGTGTAAGAGAGTGTGTGTGACTGTATGCATGTGTCTGTGTGTGTCTTTCTGTGTGTGCGAGAGTGTGTGTGTATCTTTGTGTATGTGTGAGTCAGTGTGTAAGACTCTGTGTGTGTGTGTGTGTGTGTGTGCGCGTGCGTGCGTGCGTGCGTGTGTGTGTATCTTTGTGAGTGTATGCATACGTCTGTGTTTGACTACAATGTGTCTTATGGTTTGACACATCCATAGATACACCATCTCGCAAAATCCCATAGTTCTTGCTATTCGTTCATGGAATATGGGCATCTTGTCCATCTCCAATTGTCCTTGAGAAGGTGGTGAGCTGCATTCTTGAACCAGTCTTGAGTTGCTAGATTTGTTTGAAATCTGTCCCATTTAGTACAGTGATAGTGCCACACGATACAATGTGAAGGTGGGACTCTGTCTCCACAAGGACTGTGTGATGGTGACTCTTACCGATACTGTCACGGACATGTGTATCTGCAGCTGGCAGATTACTGATGATGATGTCAAGTATGTTTTTCCCTCACCACTTGCCACAGATGCAGTCTAGCAGCTGTATCCTTTAGAACCTGATCAGCTCAATCAGTAGTGCTGCTGGTGGACATTGAAATCTTGGTGGACTTTGACATCTTGAGCTCTTGCCACCCTCACCGCTTCCTCCAAGTGTTGTTCAATATACAGGAGTATTGCTTCATCAGCCGAGGGAGGACAGTATGTGGTAATCAGCAGGAGGTTTCCTTGCTCACGTGTGACCTGACGCCATGAGACTTCATGACATCTGGAGTCTGCGTTAATGACTCCTTCCCTCCTGACTGTATACCACCATGGTGCCACATCTGATGGTAGTGGAAGAGTTGGAGATATCGGTTCAAAGATATGTTCCAATGAACTGCTGCCAGTAATCTGCAGGAATTGACATAATTCCCCAGGGATTTTACCAGTTGACCTGGCCAGGATACCCTTTGATGTGCCCATTGCCTATTTCAATACAGCGTGGCCTGTGTTCAGCCTGGTTCTGTTTCTCTTTTACTGTTTTTGTGGTAGTTTGATGCAGTTAATTGGCTGACTGGGCAGTCTCAGAGGGCAGCTATGAAGTATTGGCCTGGGTCTGGAGATTGACAAGGCAAAGGATGACAAATGCTGTTCCTGGTGAGAAGTTTGGTTTTGACAATAACCTATGAGTTTTATGATCACCCTTAACTGGACCAGCGTTTTATTCCAGATTTATTCACTAATTAAAACTAAATTCCACTAGCAGCTGTGGTGAGATTTGACCTAGGTCATTGATTGAGCCTCTGGAATTGCTCCAATAAGATTACCACAGTCTTACTGTGGGTAGGAATCTAGCCTGGCATCTGCTGTCCTAAAACATGCCAGATGGTACAGCAAGGGCTAGTACTTATCCAACCCTGACACATAGGGAATAGGATATCGGGTGTGAATTTGTGGGCATTTTTATTGTTTGCACATGGGATATATGCATTGCTGACTAGTTGAGCATTTATTGCTGATCCCTAATTGCTGAGAGAACTGTTAGGAGTCAACCATGTTGCTCTGGGTCTGGAGTTGTATGCAGAACAGACCAGGTAAGGGCAGCAGATTTCCATCCCAAACATACAGAAATTTTACCAAAAACCTTTTCATGAGACTTTGCCTTCTTGGTGCCCATCCCTGACCTGGGTGGTTTGTGGGATGTGGGTAAGGTAGTTCACCAGTTTAGGTGGTTAGGAGACAGATATTGACCATTTAAAATATTGACGCTTCACCTGGCTGCACTTCTTTGGGTGGCTCGGTGGGTCAGGATCAGGGGGGCAGCCAGATAGTATAACCTGTCCAGGCTTCAGATGGTAAAAGACAACCCCATCACTTGCCTCTCTTCTGATTGAGGCATCCATCTCCCTAAGCTCCGGCCTCAGCTGGGTGCATCCCCCTCCTGTAGCCTTTTCAGTTCTGCCCTGATCAGCCTTTCTAAAATGCAGCACCTCACATTTATTGAAACTAAACTCCATCTGCCACTCCTCGGCCCATTGGCACAGCTCAGCAAGGTCCTGTTGCACTCTGAAGTAACCTTCTTCGCTGTCCACTACACCTCCAAAGTCTTCTGCAAACTTACTAACCATCCCTCCTATGTTCACATCCAAATCATTTATGTCAATGACGAAAAGCAGTGGACCCAGCACCGATCCTTGTTGCACACCGCTGGTCACAGGCCTCCAGTCTGAAAAGCAACCCTCCACCACCACCCTCTGTCTTCTATCTTCAAGCCAGTTCTGTATCGAAATAGCTAGTTCAACCGGTATTCCATGTGATCTAACCTTGCTCACCAGTCTACCATGAGGAACCTTTCCAAATGCCTTAGAGAAGTCCACATAGATCATGTGCACTGCTCTGCAATTTGAGCTACTGTTTCAAAAGAGCCTGACACTGACTGGGTACGGAAAGAGAGAAGAAAAGAGGGTGGTAAGAATCAGGGTGGAGATTACACGGAGAGAGAGAGAGACGGGGGGGAGTCAGAACTGGTGAGAGGGAGTTGGGTGAGAGGCTAGAATAAGGAACAGCATGGAAATCTGAGTTCATATGGCATTGTTGACAGAAACATGACAAGATCCACCGGAAGGGAAACACAGAGGATGGGAGGAAAATGTAATAAATTGGAATTATTGAGTGAAACATAAAATCTAAGCATGTGTTTACCATGAAGGCGGCTCTCTGTAAGGGTTACTTATTTATCAAACATAGGAAGTAGTAAAAGCCATTAACTCTAGGTGTGGTTGCAGCAACACTCAGTCGAAAGATAAGGAAATTTTCCTGTCTATGTTCTTTAGAAGATGATGCCCGAAGAGTAATATCTGAGAACAAATAGGTTTATTATTGTTTCCAAAGTACAACAGAGCATTAGCCCAGAGCCAGGCTGGGTGAACATGGGTGAAAGGCCTTATTGTTCCATTGGCACACAGTGAAGACAGTGAGTCACAGATCCTTGGGAAACAGAGATTAAATTCTTTGAGCAAGAGTGCCCAGTCTCCTTTCATGCAGATGAAGGACTGAAATTAATCAGCTGTCTGTACATTTATCATTGAAAGCCTTTCAGTAATTGCCTATCTACATTGGCTCTCTTGCTCGATCTTTCTTCATATGCTTCCCTCTATCACCCTCTCTGCATCCGTCTGTTTAGGTTCATTTTTCTCCGTCTATCCCTCTCTTTCTCTGTTCTCCAGCTTCTCACTCCAACTCTCTCTATTTCTATCTGTTTGTCTGTTAATCTTTGTTTCCATCATTCTAACGTTCGCTCACTCTATGTCTCCCTTTATCTCAGTGTCTCCCACACACTGTCTCTCACTCTATCTCTCTGTCATTCCCTTCACTTCACACTCTCCCTTTAGGTTGCCCGAAATGGGCAAAATTTCTGAATGGGCAGGGCTAGACAAATATAATTGCTGTGTCTGTATCTGAGGCCTGTATGGTGTAACCCCAACTGAATTCATCATCAGATGACCACCCATCACGCAAGTGAGCCCATGGGTTTGGTATAATAGTGTAAGGGTTGGAAAGGGTTCGCATTGAAGAGTGCCTGAAGCATCACCTAATGATATCAGACAGGCCTGGTGAGAGACCAGGACGGGCGCTTGACAGAGCAAGATCTTCACTCACTGTAACAATGTCTATCTAATCAGTGTGATCCATACACAGCTGCTGAAAAGCAAGGTGAAGAAGGTTTAGGGATAGTAGGAACTGCAGATGCTGGAGAATCTGAGATAACAAGGTGTAGAGCTGGATGAACACAGCAGGCCAAGCAGCATCAGAGGAGCAGGAAAGCTGACGTTTCGGGCCTAGACCCTTCTTCAGAAAAAGGGTCTAGGCC